TGCGACCCATGTCCTCCTGTCATAGCCATTGCTACACAAAAAAGAAGAGCGGCCTGGAACAGCAAGTGGGTTTGCGTCCGCTGTCTAACAAGACTTCGGCATTCGAAGAGCTGCGTCCGCTGTCTAACAGGGGGAGGAGGAGGAGGAGGAGGAGGAGGAGGAGGAGGAGGAGGAGGAGGAGGAGGAGGAGGAGGAGAGGGAGAAAGAGGAGGAGGATAGATAGCAGGAGGAGGAGGAGGAAAAGGAGGAGGAGGAGGAGGAGGAGGAGGAGGAGAGAGCCGAGCTCAGGGCGAATGGAGGACGTCCGCTAGGGCGACGGGGGAAGGGCTAAGGGTAATCTAAAAATATTGTCATGTGGGGTCTCACCGTCGGAAAAATGTTTCGTCGAAGCCCTGCAAACTACGCGGAATGTCCAGAGATCTACGAGCATGTGACCCCATGTGCTCCCGGAGCCGGAAATCAAACATCGACTCTGTGGTAAACCAATGTTGCAGTCGATCCCCTACTCGATCACCCGGAGGGTGCGGTCAGGGCTTGTTGCCGGCAGGGCCTCGTGGAGACGGAGCGAGGCCCCGTTGCTGGGCCCCGGTCGCGCCCAGAGGCGCGAGGAGCGCCACGGGAGAGCCCAGGGGAGGGCCAGCAGCAGGGGCTCCCAACTTCGCGCTTCGCGCGGCCTCCCAGGGGAGAGGAGGAGGATGCGGAATTGGAGCCGGACCGCGAAGCAAGAATAACTTCGCGCCCTCGAGGGCGTCCTCGCAGCAGAGAGACCTGGGAGCCTCCCAAACCGTGCAGTGACAGACCGCGCGGTGACCTCGGAAGCCCCAACGACCTCACCGCACGGTCCGTCGCCGAGCAGTCGTAGGACCCTGGCGGCTCTGGTCGCCCGGGACGTCCCGGACGATCGGAGAACCACCCGAGCTCCAAAACCGTGCGGTGACCCCGAATCCACACTCACTCACTACAAGGTCCTTTTAGGTGGGGCATGTCCTCCTACAGGCGGGTTTTGGAAGAAAAACAAAACAGATCAAACATATTCGGAAATGATCAGACATAGATAAAAAAAAGTCCCCGTGCTATTCTTTGACTATTCTGAAATGTTCCTCCTGTAGAGGGACAGGTCCGACTTAACACAAGGTGCGGTCACCACACCGCTTGGGCGGCCCCCGAGGAAGACTGCGCCGCCGGGGGACATCAGCGGAGGCCTGCCGAGCCCAAGTGCCGCAGCAGAGCGCCCAGAAACGCCCACGAACCTCGAGCCCAAGCCTCCATCCCCGATCCCCAGGCTCGATCAATCGGGGACTCGCAAATGTGGATTAGGGATCCATGGACTTGGCGCGCGGTCGCCAAGTCCAATCGAAGCTCCTTCCGTCCTTCGTTCCTTTTTTCCTCCTCCCTTCTTTCCCTCCTTCCTTCCTTCCTTCTTTCCTTCCTTCTCCTTCTCCTCCTCATCATCATCAACTCGCCTCCCTCTTCCTCGTCCGCCTCCGCTCCCTCCTCCTCCTCCTCCTCCTCCTCCTCCTCCTCCTCCTCCTCCATTCCTATTCCTAATCAACCACTTCTTCGTGTCGCACCCCGAGGCAAGTTTTTCGGGCGGGTCGAGCGTTTCGCTTGAGCCATAGTCACCATCTATGACACTGGAGATTAGATTTGACAAACGTTCCACAGATGGAGGGCGGGTGGTTCTCAACAAGTGACTCTCGCCTTAACGCCGTGCACATTCGTTTTCGACATTTTCAATAATTTCACGGATAGGGCGGTTCCTTTTCAAAATGTGGCTCCCGCCTTAGCGCTGCGCGCATTCGTTGCAAAAGAATGCAAGAGCTTCACGGTGTGAGAGCGGGCGGGTTTCAAAATGTGGCTCCCAGCTTGGCGCCGCGCATATTCGTTTCAAACGGATTCCTATGATCAGCGTACCAGAATTCATATGTTTGGAAAGACTCAGGATTACGAGGGTGCAACAGACACGTTGATTCGCGGTGTTGAATTCCCAGGAGAGGCGTTCAGACACGATTCAAGATTGTTAAAACGCAATGGCCAAGTTGATCCGTGGCGTTGGAGTCCCTAGAATAATGCTTTGGCATGCTTCAGGGTCGTCAAACGGTTGTCTCCCAACGAAAGAGTTCCCTCAATGAAGGGAGGGTTTATTCCGACAGTGTTGATGGCTCTTGGGTTTACACTGGTCCTCCTCCTCCTCGTCATCATCATCATCATCATCATCAGCAGCAGCAGCATCAGCATCAGCATCAGCATTAGCATCGCCATCATAATCGCAATCATAAGCAGCACCATCATCAGCATCAGCATCAGCATCATCAGCATCATCATCATCATCATCATCATCCTCATCAACATCATCATCCTCATCCTCATCCTCATCCTCATCCTCATCCTCATCCTCATCCTCATCCTCATCCTCATCCTCATCCTCATCCTCATCATCATCATCATCATCATCATCATCACCCTCCTGCCTGTTCCGCCTCCTCCTACTCCTCGTCGTCCTATTCCTCCTCTCCCTCCCCATCCCGGGTCCCCTCCCTCCTTCTCATCCTCCTCCTCCTCCTGCTCCTCCTCCTCCTCCTTCACGCTCCTCCCTTTTCCTCGTCCGCCTCAACCCGCTTCCCCTCCTCCTCCTCCTCCTCCTCCTCCTCCTCCTCCTCCTCCTCCGCCTGCTCCTCCTCCTCCTCCTCCTCCTTCAACGCCGACCCCCAGGCCCGTTTGCGGCGCGCTGTGACCAGGATTTCGCGGCGAACCCAGCCGTTGCAGCGAGGTTTTTTTCCGAAGGCCCGAAAAGCATCCTCCTCCTCCTCCTCCTCCTCTTCCTCCTCCTCCTCCTCCTCCCTCGAAGCCGACCTATCAGCCTCCATTCGGGGGCGTGCGCTTGAGTCAGCATCTCGGGTGCCTTGGCGACGAGGACTTCCACTAGGAGGCCCCCCACAAGGCAGGCCAGACGAAACCTCGATCATCGATGCCCACCACTCGTCCCTCATCCACCTCGTCCTCATACATTTAGGTCGGGCATGTCACCCTACAAGCGGACTTTTGGCGAAAAATCAAAAATACTCAAAAGTAGTCAGAAATCGTCCCAAGGCTATGTTTGACTGTCTTTGAATATTCCTCCTGTACAAGGACAGGCCTGACATAATCACACAAATGCTGTATGTATTACATGTCATCGTCTTTCTCATTCTCATGTGTCCTGATTCTCGGTATCCTGTTCTTTCCCCTCCTCCGCTTCCCTTTTTCCCAAAGATCCGCTGTGGTTTGTCAGTCTCGAGAAATCCCGACACATTCGCCTTGCTCTGAATCCCGAGCCGTTCTTCAATGGTCCGGGGTCACGGCGACGGCCTCCAGAGGCCGAAAACGACGACAAACCTCCGCATTGAATCTTTCAATACGCTGGCAGGACTGGACCCCCTCTCTCGGCATCGTCATCCTGCTCCTCTTCCTCTCCTCCTCAATCCTCCTACTCCTGCTCCTTCACGGTCCTGGGCCCAGCGAAGGCCCCTAACTGGGGAATCCAAAAGGTATCATTACCGCCACTCCCTGGACCTCTCCTAGGGTGCGTTCTGACCAGGATTTCGAAGCGGTGGCGACGAGGGCCTCCCCAGAGGCCTACAAATTGGTAAACGAAGGAAGGGTGGAGGTATGGGTACCTCTGCATCCCCTGACGCATGGGCCGTAAATGCGAGAGAAACCCCAGTGCATCTGTCCTGCCCTCCTCCCCCCTCTCCTCCCCCCCCCTTTCGCCCATGCCGACGCTCGATCGATCCCCCCATTTGCCCCTGGAGAAGCGCGAGAAACCTCGGTGCCGAATCTGCCCTGTCCTCCTCCCTCCTCTCCTCCCCCCCCTTCGCCCGTGCCGACGCTCGACCGTTCCCCCCCCCCTCGCCCCCGGAGCAACGCGAGAAATCTGGGTGCCGATTTTGGGGGCGGCCAAAAGGGGGCGTCCAAGAGGGGGGGGGGCGCAAATCGTGGCCGGCGGCACGTGTGCGCGGCCCAGGGGGGGGGGGACAGGGACGCCATGACATAGGAAGAGGCGCCATGACATCCGAGGACGTGTCACGGCCGACGCCATGAGATCCCCCCCCAGTCGTCACCCCACCCCCCTCTTTGCCGCCCCCGAGGAAGCTGCCCTCTCCTCCTCCCCCCTCTCCTCCCCCTCTTCGCCCCTCGAGGGCAGGCAGCAGCAGCAGCAGCAGCAGCAGCAGCAGCAGCAGCAGCAGCAGCAGCAGCAGCAGCAGCAGCAGCAGCAGCGGGAGGGCGGGACGTCTCTAGAATTCACGCGGGAGAGCGTCCCCGCTCGGACCCAACGCTCCCAAGCTTGGGGAGCTCGTGCCGAAGGCTTCCGTGCTCGCAGTCATGGGGCACATGCAGGGCGCATCGAAAAAAGAGAGGCAGCAGCAGCAGCAGCAGCAGCAGCAGCAGCAGCGGGATGCACGGTTTCCCTCCGGGGCCGTAGGCGACTCGAGGAGGAGGAGCGAGGAGGGAGGAGGGAGGAGGGAGGGAGGAGGAGGAGGAGGGAGGAGGAGGAGGAGGGAGGAGGAAGGAGGAGGAGGAGGAGGAGGAGGAGGAGGAGGGGAGGAGGAGGGGGAGGAGGGGTGAGGAGGAGGAGGAGGAGGAGGAGGAGGAGGAGGAAGAGGAGGAGGAGGAGGAGGAGGAGGTGGAGGGGAGGTGGAGGAGGGGGGGGAGGGGGAGATGGAGGATAAGGAGGAGGGGAGGAGGAGGGAGGAGGGAGGGGAGGAGGGAGGAGGGCGGAGGAGGAGGAGGAGGAGGAGGAGGGGGAGGGGGAGGAGGAGGAGGAGAACGGGTCGCCTATGCCCTTCGGAGAAACCCTCCACAGCGGGAAGGCCCCGCGAGAGCGAGAGAGCCGCCTCGAGCTCGCGAGGCTGGGGCGCCGCGGGCTCCCGGGGGGCCGCCGCCCGCGAGGCCGGGGCGCCGAGGGAGGCCCCCCTCCGCGGCCGGGGGTGCGCCCGAAGGGGCCCTCACTGCGCTCCCGGTCAGTCCTCGTTCTCCTCGGGCGCACGAGGGGGAGTAAGCAAGAATGGTCGGACCGCTGGACTGTTTTTTCACCCTTGCGCGAAACAGCTCGCTCCTCCCCTGCCCAAATGCCGGGTCTGGGGGATTCCGTGGGCACCCGGTATGCTGCTAGCACCCCGTGCCGCCCGCGATGGGCAGTTACTCGGGCCTATGAAGGCTTGAGCCAAAATGGCGGGTGCACGAGGGGGAGGGGGGAGCAATGCCCAGAGATCCAACAACAACAGGCGGGAGGTGTTCCTCGCAGTTGTCTCGGCCTCTGGGGGCACTCCCTTCGTGCCCCGGGGCCGTCCGAAGACGGCGCAGGATAAAAAAAGGGTCCATGGGGCAGGGGTCGAGACTTCCAGGGGCCCCGCATGGACAAACAAATCACGATGTCGGAGCTCCGGGTGACCCATCGGTCGGAAGACGTGGGCAGGGGCACGAGGTAGGAGGGCGTTGGGGAAGCAGATGGTGTCTCAGCCCGCCCCCCGGAGGGGGACGGAACAGGTGAAGCCACTCGATCGTTGAAGTAGGAGAGCGCTTAAGGCAGATTTGAACCTGGGTATCCCAAAAATACATGTTTTAACGACCGATGGGCAATGACACGGCATGCAGCCAGCCCGTATCAGAAAGACGCGCGATAAGGATGCAATGGTCCTTCGAGGGCCGTCTCCGAAGCTTCTCGAGCAGCGGAAGTGGCCAAGGATGGGCCGAGGAGGCGAGGCTGCAAGGAGTCCTTGGGAAGGTTGCCCATCCTTACTCTGCGGGTCGACTGTAATGAATGACTCGGGGATCATCTGACCCGGGTCAATCCAGACCCGGGTCAGTCAGGCATTGCATCATCCTGCAAAATCCTGCCCTGCAAGATCCTGCAAGATCGGGCGCTCTGGCTGACCCCCGTTTGCATTGACCCCCGTCTCTGGAACCCCGGTTGACGCGGCACAGTGGCGCCCCGTGTGCCACGCTTCTCTCACAAGGCCGTGGCGAGCCGCAGGCCCGCGTGTGCATCCGCACCGAGCTGTGCAGCGTCAGCATTAGGTCGGGCGTGTCCCCCATACAGGCGGATTTAATACGAAAAAACAAAAAACAAATCCAATAAATATTCAACATTTCGTCCCAATATTGTTTTTTAAAAGGCTATGTTTGAATATTCCTCCTGTAGAGGGACGTGCCCGACTTAGCGTCAGCACTCTCATTTGGGGTGGGGGGGAGGGAACGGGCCCTCGAAGACCTGCGAAGCTTGACGGGCGCCAGGCCGAAGCTGGGTCGACTCCAGGAGAAGTTGTGGTGGGGGGGTGGGTCAAGGCAGTCCCCAGCGGGCGCAAGCCCGAGCCGTGGGGTCACGCGGAGGAGGACGAGGACGACGAGGAGGAGGAGGAGGAGGAGGACGAGGACGAGGAGGAGGAGGAGGAGGAGGACGAGGAGGCCGCAGGACGCAGTAGGGAGCAGGGGTGCCGGAGCACGACCCTGGCTTCGCAGATGGGACGCCACCAGTGGGGGCGCGAGGGTGTGAACCCAGTACCGCTTAAGAAACCCGACACATTTGGCTTAGGTCGGGCATGTCCCCCTACAGGGGAATTTTGAAGAACAATTTTCTTAAAACATCAAAAATACTCACAAATGTTAAAACAGTGGCCCTCAGACTATGTTTTTACTAGTTGTTTGAGCATTCCTGACTGAAGACCAGGCATCGGCGTGCGTGCCCGGGATGGCGTGGCATCGCAGACCCTGCGCCGAGCCAGGTTTCGGAGCGAGGGCTTCGGGGGCGCCTCCGATCGATACAGCGAGCCAGTCCAGGGCGCGAGCCAGCGGCGCGGAGGAGAGGGGGAGGGGGGGGGAAGGAGGGGGGGGAGGAGCGGAGGGACAGGGGAAGGGGGGGGGGGGAAGGGAGGGGGCGAGGAGGGAGGGGGAGGGACCAGAGTAAGCCCAATGTGCATCGGCGATTCTGATGTCCACCCTCCCGTTCCAAGCTCACTCCTCTCGCAAGCTCCTGCGAGCCAAGCTTGTCACACCACGGCGCGCCCCCGTGAAAGACGAGCAACCTGTGAGCCTGCCGTTCGGGCGAGAGCCCCGTTTTGAACATGCGGGGTCTTGCATTCCTCTAGCGGGCTGTGGGACATGCGGCAAGGTCGATCAGAAGGTTCGATGAGGTAGAGATTCGACGACAACCTCATGTCCTGAAACAAAAACACCCTTTTTCGAACAACAATAGCGCGAAACTCCATGTTGAAAAGAGCCGCCAACCCTCCGTGCAGCTGTACTACATGCTCAGGCTCATGAATATCAAAGAAAAGTGAAGTCCAAAGCGAGATCTTGTATTTTTCCTCAAACAGCTTGCTGAACGAGGTGCTGTTGTGGTAGAAGCTAACTCTGGCCGAGGGAACGGGGAGCAAAGACATCCTCAACACAAATCTGATGGTCCGGGCCGTTTCGCCTGAGAGATCCTCGAAACGCTGACCTCCGGGACCCGCGCGCGAGGTGGTCCTGGCCGTTTCGCTATCTGGCCTCCGGGACGCCGCGGGCGAGGTGGTCTGGGCCGTTTCGCCTTTGACATCCTCGCAACTCGGGGATCCGAGATGCCGCGCGCGAGGTAGTCCAGCCTGTTTCGCCTGAGACATCCTCGAAACTCGGGGTCGATGCAGTGCGCAAGGTGGTCTGGCCCATTTCGCCTGAGACATCCTCGCCATTCTGCGTTCCGACCTGCCGCGCGAGAAGTGAACTGGCGCCTTGCGCTTGAGACATCCTCGCTCCCATTAGCTCCGAGATGCTGCGCGAGGTGGTCCAGCTCGTTTCGCTTGAGAATATCTTGCAATTCTGAGCTCTGAAAAACTGTGCGCAAGGATGTGTGGCTCGTTTCGCTTGCTATATCCTTGCAATTCGGAGCTCCGCGATGCTGCGAGCGACGTAGTCTGGCCCGTTTCGCCTGAGACATCCTCGGAACTCGAGTCTGCGAGAGGGAGGAGAAAGGACTCCCCGTGTCAAATCGTGCTGTGGGAGGGGTCTGGGCGCCGCCTGAAACATCCTCGGAACTTTGAACTCCCAGATGTCGCACGCGAGGTTGTCCCGCCCGTTTCGCCTGAGACATCCTCGAACCTCGGGGCTCCCATCCTCGAAACTCTGGGCTCCGAGAGGGAGGGGGAGTCATACCCAAACGAATCATGTGACTACACATGTGTTGTGCTCTGGGAGGGGTCTGGGGGACGCCTGGGACATCTTAAGGACTCTGAGCTCCCAAATGTCGCACGCGAGGTGGTCCGCCCAGTTTCGCCTGAGACATCCTCGCAACCCAGGGTTCCCAGATGCTGCGCGCGAGGTGGGCTGGCACGTCTCGCCTGAAGCATCCTCGCGACTCTGGGCTCCCTGAAGATGTGCGGGGGGTGGTCCGGCTCGTTTCGCTGGAGACATCCTCGCAACTCCTGGGCTCTCAGCAAATGTGCACGAAGTGGGCTGGTGCGTCTCGCATGCAGCATTCTCGCAGCTGGGTTCCAAGATGCCGCGCCAGAGGTGGTCCGGCCCGTTTCGATCGAAGCATCCTGGGTGCAGAATGGGGGAGGAGAAAGGGAGGAGAAGGGAAAAGGAATCATAGACGAGGGAGACGGGATAAGGCTCAAGCACTACCTGCTTGAGGGTATCACTGACGAGGGTGCCTCCTGGAAGCGACATCGAGAGTGCGATGGCATCCCTGGCATGGCGAAGGCAGCGCATAGGATGGGGGCAGAGGAGGATGAGGATGATGAGGACCATTAGATGGAGGAGGAAGATAATGAGAAGAAGAAGGACGGGGATGACGAGGAGAAGGAAGAGTAGGCGGAGGGGATGGAAAGAGGGAGAAGAAAAGGACGGGGAGAAAAAGGAGTAGGAATGCGATGACGAGGACGAGGAGGAGGATGAGGAGGAGGAGGAGAAGGGAGGAGGGGCATTCCGAGGAGGAGGAGGCGGCGGAGGTGGGAGGCGAGGAGGAGCAGGAGGAGGAGGAGGCGGAGGAGGAACACTGCGAAGCGGAGGAGGACGAGGAGCATGAGTAGAACGAGGATTACAAGGGGGAGCACGGCGAGCAGGAGGAGGAGAAGCAGACGAGAAATACAACGAGGAGGTCGATGACGAGGTAGAGGATGAAGAGGAGGAGCAGGAGGAGGAGGAGGAGGAAGAACACGACGAGGAGGAGTAGCGCCAGGAGCAGAAGGGGAAGATTCCGTATGAGGAGGTGAACGAGGAGGAGTGAGATGGGGAGATACAGGAGGAGGAGGAGGAGGAGGAGGAGGAGAAGGAGGAGGGGGAGGAGGAGGAGGACGAGGAGGAAGAGGAGGAAACAGAGGGGGAGGAGGACCAGGAGGAACTGGATGAGGAGGATAACGAAGAGGTGGGGGAGGAAGAGGAGGCGGAAAAAGAGGAGGAGGAGGAGCGGGAGGACGAGAGAAGGGGAATGAGGAGGGGGAGGTGTAGTGAGAATGAGAATTACCTACGGATGCGGGGGAGGAGGACGACGACAACGATCACGAATAACTAGACGGTCACGCCGAAGGCGCAAGCAGACCAGAAGCAAGAGACCGCGCGAACACGCTGAGGAATCACCGTGGCTCAAACAAAAGCTGTTTGGGGATACTGGACTCTGGCTATAATTCGACAAGCTACCGCCCACCATCCGCATAACTGTTGTACACTTTCACACGTTTGTCTACGTTACGTTTGTTCGTATATGATGCTGGGGGAGGTCTCAAGCGAACACATAACATGTTGAACACGGACCGCCCCCCAAACCGCGCAAGTGGTGCACACTTAAACGAGAATTCCTGACCCCTCCGTGTGACTGCTGGGAGATCTAGCATCGGGACAACCAGAGGAGTCTCAAAAGGAACGCCTCGATTGGCATGCGGACACGTCTGATACTGGTGGCGCGACAGGAAGAGGCTACTCACAAAGAACAGGATGGAGGGGTGATGGGGAGAAGGAGAAGGAGGAGGAGGAGGAGGAGGAGGAGGAGGAGGAGGAGGAGTGGGAGGAGGAGGAGGAGGAGGAGCCGATGCGGCGTCGGACCTCCAGAGGCCTCCGCAGGCTCCCAGGCCACGGTGACCTCCGCGGGCCTCCGGAGACCTCTGGAGGACCCCGCGGAGACTGCGGGAGATCTCCAGAGGACTCCAGGGTCGAGAATCGAGGATAGTGGCTTCCTCAGGCCAATGTCACGCCTCCTGCAAGAAGGCCTCGTCGCCAGGGCTGGGTCCGCTCCGAAATCTTGGGAGGAGGAGGAGGAGAAGGAGGAGGAGGACGAGGAGGAGGAGGAGGAGGGAGGAGGAGGAAGAGGAGGAGGGGGGGAGGAGGAGGAGGAGGAGGAGGAGGAGGAGGAGGAGGAGGAGGAGGCCCGAGGGGGGAACAATAAGATAAGAGACTCTGCGGCGGAGCGAGGGTGAGAAGAGCGGACCAGGTGAGGGCCTTCCTTCTTATAAGGTGCGGAAGTCCCCTTCTCCTCCTCCTCCTTCCCTCCTCCTCCTCCCTCCTCCTCCTCCTCCTCCTCCTCCCTCCCTCCTCCTTCTCCTCCTCCTCTCCTCCTCCTCCTCCTCCTGCCTCCTCCTCCTCCTTACTCCTCTCCTTCACCTCCCCCTCCTCCTCCTCCTCCTCCTTCTCAGAAGGTGCGGGGGCTTCTGAGAAGCCCCGCCGCCTTCTGAGAGGGCCTTCTCCTTATCACTTCCCCCCCCTCGCTCGCCACCAGTGAGAATGTCGGGATCCACCAGGGGGGGGAGGACTCTGAGGGGGGGGGCATGAGTTGGATCCGCTGGTGCACCGACCCGGGGAAAACAGCAAATGCCTCCCGCATGCCCCACCCATCGGCAACTATCGGGAGCTGCCGGCGGCTGGGGGGCTTCTTTGGGCGGTTCGGTGCAAAACAAAAACAGTCGAACCCCGCCCCCTCCAGGCACGCATCCCTGCACGGTTTCCCCCGGGGCCGTAGGCGACCCGAGGAGGAGGAGGAGGAGGTGGATGTGGAGGTGGAGGAGGAGATGGAGGAGGAGATGGAGGAGGAGGAGGAGGAGGAGGAGGAGGAGGAGGAGGAGGAGAAGGAAGAGGAGGATGAGATGGAGGAGATAGGAGGAGGAGGAAGAGCAGGAGGAGGAAGGGTGGCCTCAGCCCTTCGGAGAAGCCCTCCACACACCCCACTTGTTTAAACTATTCTTGGATATTCCTCCAGGAGAGGGACAGGCCCGACTTTAACTCCAGGCGCGCACCCCATTTGCGGGATCCCGAGGGGTGGCAGGCGGGCCGCGGACGCCGAGAGACGCAGGAGCAGAGTGGGTGCCAGAGGGTGGGCCCTGGCTCCCGGGGCGGCCCCAGGCGCTCCAGCGAGGCCCGGGTGGCCTCTCAGGAGCATGAGGTCTCTCTGGCCCTCCCCCTCCCTCACCCCCTCCCCCTCCTCCTCCTCCTACCTCCTCCTCCCTCCTCCTCCTCCTCCTCCTCCTCCCTCCGCCTCCTCCTCCTCCATCTCCTCCTCCTCCTCCTCCTCCTCCTCCTCCTCCTCCCCCTCCTCCTCCTACTCCTCCTCCTCCTCCTCCTCCTCCTCCTTCTCCTCCCACCCCCCCTCCAGGCGTAGGTCGGGCGTGTCCACCTACAGGCGGATTTTGATAGGAAATCCAAGAATACCCCCAAACATACCCCCACATAGCCAAACATATACGAGAGACATCGTCCCCCGACTACGTTGTAGCTATTCTCGAATATCCCCCCTGTAGAGGACAGGCCCGACTTATAATCCCAGGAGCACCGCCCGCGAGGCCCAGCGAGCCCCGCCGCCCCTGGGCGCCCCAAGCCACAGGAGAAGCCCGGGGCACCTTGGGCCGGGGACCCCCCGAATGGAGGAGGCAGGACGCTGGGCTCGACCCAAACGGTGCTTTCCGTGTTCGTGCTGTCTTCGTTTTCCCTCGCTTCGTACTCGTTCTGCCCTTACGGCGAAACCAACAACATCGGAACGCAGACGGTCCACGACATCCCCGAAACGCCGGTCAGGTCGAGCCCTGCGCTTCCTCGCCGGCCCCATCCTCGGCCTCGATCATCTCCTTGGCCTTATCCTCGGCCGTCTTCAGCAGGTCGTTCGGCACGGCCGCGAACTGGTAGTTAGACTTGGGGCAGATCCACGACGCCTGCGGCTCGAAGCTCGAAGGGGAGGACTTGAAACACTAGACATGAGTTTGCTTTGAGCGATCCTTGCCCCCGTCTCTCGGCGGCGAGCAGGGGGGGAAGTGAGAAGCAGAAGGCCTGCTCAGGAGGCGGCGGGGCTTTTCAGAAGCCTTCGCGCCTTCGGAGCGGTTTTCGGTGTATTCGGGGAAGGCTTAGAAAACATCTCAGAAGGCCAGGGGGACTTCTGAGCCCTCTGAGAAGGTCTTCTCCTTCTCAATTCCCCCCCCCGGGCTCGCCGCCGATACCCCCTAAACACCAGGCTGGATACCCAAGGAACCGGGGCACAAGTTGGACTTGGCGGCCGCGGGATGCAGGGTGTGCGACCTGGTTCGGGAGCACTTTTCTTCGAGTCTAGCAACCCAAATCTGTCGAGTGGAGAATAGATGTTATGCAATGCGTGTGTTGTTCTTCACTATTTGCTGCCTCCAGGTGACCTCGTCGGCGGACCCTGGGACCATCAGACACCGACTCAGGAGCAATATATCAGATTTCCAGGCAGTGGTCGCGATCTCTGGGGCCTTCGTATCGAGCAGAAGCAACTTCAGAGGTCTCTGGGGAGGAGGATTCGTCGAGGTCACGTCACCTCGCGCTTCGCGCTTCGCGAGGTGCGAAACTCAATTGTTTGAGTCCCGCTCACGCTTGGCGGCGTGCACAAGGGGGTGGGGGGAGTGGGGAGGGCTTTTCCAGGAGGGCTTGACAGGAGCACCAGGACATTTGAACATAAGCTCCATCCATTTTTCACGGGGGTGCTTCTAAGAAGCCCTCCCCACCTTTCCCACCCCCCTCTGCGCGTGGCTGACACGCACCGTCTCCTGGAAACAGACAACTCCTCGGCACACGCTGCGAAGCGCCATTTATCCTGGCGCCCCTGCGGGTGACCCAAATTCGCCCTCAAACATTTTGACGCTTGTACCGTCCTCGGAAGGCCTTTCCCTGGTCACCACGGCTGCTTTGCCGCGACATCCTGGGACAAAAAGATGGAGGATGGCGCCAGAAGGGTGGAGAAGCATGGCCACGACGGCAACGACGTCGCCTCCAGTTCGAAGTCCTTGTCCTTCTCGTCGTGCACCTTGTGCATGATCTTCGCCACGTGCACCAGGGCTTCCTCGCAGGTGATGTCGGGGTTCGCCATCAGCTTCTCGATCTCTGTCTTGGCGGCCTGCTTGCCCTTGCCGATGGCGGTGCCCTTGAACTTGTAGACCAGCCCTGCAGGGTCGATCTGGAAGAGCGACGGGACCTTGGTCTCCGGATCCACGGCGCCGAACAGCACGGTGCAGCCGAACGGGCGGGCGCTCCAGTACAGCGTGAAGAGGTGAGTGAAATTCCCTAGGCGCTCGGCCAGCACCTCCGGCGGGATCTCATCTGTGTACACGCTCTTGTACTGGTTCGCCTCCTCGCGGGCCCTGCTGACAATCTGGCGCGAGTCGGCGAGGAAACCCGCGATCGACATCCCAGCGTGGCGGTGGATAGGGAATATGCGCTTGATGGTTCCCGGCACAAGCATCTTCGAAAGCATGAACTTCTCGACCGCGAAGAGCACGCCGTCCTTGCAGCAGATGGCCAGAGACGTGCCGCTGTTCTCTACGGCCTTCTGGGCATACTCTACCTGACAGGTGCGCCAATGGGGCAGAAGGCGCCTCTTTCTCTCTTCCTCGTCCTCCTCCTCGTCCTTCTCCTTGCAAAAGATTCGGCGCCGCGATTTGTTCGAGACGCGGGCCCCTGGCCCCCCTGGCCCATTCCCAGGGGCCAGCTTTTGATCCCAGGTCGTTTTCTGACGAAGACCTGAGGCCCGAAACCGACCTCCAAAGTCCAACCCTGTCAAAAGCTTGTCGTCCCGACTTGTGCGTGCCGCCAGATCTCTGGATTCCCCTCCTCCTCCTCCGCCTCCTCCTCCTCCTCGGCCTGATAGACGCGCCCGTCTGGGGAGAAGGTGTTCACGGACAGGTCGTAGCCGGCGCCCGTTCCCGCCATTGCCTGCAACTATATGCGAGCCCGACGGTGGCACCGAGGGGCGGCCCGGTCGCGTCTGAGCCGGAGTCCTCGAGCCCGAACAGCTAGATGGTGTCCGAGTAGATGGGGTCGGAGGATCGCGCCGCATCACCGATGTGTCGGCGATGCGTCTCGATATGGAGCCCGATATTCTCGACGCCGACGTCGCTGATACAGCGCAAACGTCGCCGATGCATTTGCCGATGCGGCGCGATCGTTCAGCCCCATCTACGCAGATCACATCTGGGAGGCCTGACAAAAGCGAGGGATGCAAGGTGCCCTTGTGATAAGGGTCTATCCTTGACGCCGGTGTTGGCTGCAGTCTGCGGTGCGGAGAGCTTGCCGCAGCGTGTCGCGGCGGTGGTCCCTGCGACATGCTGCGCCTTGAAGGCTGATAGCGTTTCGTTCTGCCTCGTGGCACTGGAGGGCTAGGGAGAACTGGGGTTCCCTTTGGTTCTTAACCACCCTGGTGTTGTGTTGGGTCCTCGTTTACAAAGACAGCGCCCCGCGTCCTCTCCTCCTCCCTCTCTTTCATCATCTCTGCTTCTGCTCTTCGCGTGTCTCTGTTTCGCCACACCCCTCACACGCTTCGTGGCCCCATGAGGAGCCCCGCCGACGGCAGCAGTGGCAGGGGCCACACGCGTCCGCCCCACGCATTCCGGGACACCCCTCACGCGCTTAGGGAGCTCCACCGAAGGCCGCAGTGGCAGTGCTCAGCTCACATCCCCCCCCGCCTACTTCGGCGCACCACTCACACGTTTCGTGGCCACATAGGGACCACCCACTTCGGCACGCCCCTCACACGCTTCATGCTCCAGTCATTAGGGAGCTCCACCGAAGGCACCCGTGGTAGTGCTCCCATGCGCCCCCCCACCCATTTCGGCACACCGCTTACACGCTTCGTGGCCCCTGGGAGCTCCGCCGAACACGGGACTCACAATTGTGCTCGGGGATGGACCGAACCCCCTTTTGCAAAACGTGGTTTAGTGAAACCGACCTCGGGCCCAACCTGGCGGGCGCAAGCCTGGAACACATTGGCCCCAGCGCTCTCTCGAGAACCGACAACTGACAATTCACTAGTCGACGTAGCGACGTGTCAGGGTGGGGGTTCTGTCCACCCCCGAGTTACACACAACTGCATATGGTTGGGTCTGTCGCCAGGTTGGGTGTGCCAAACTCTGGGAGGCCAAATTCGGCCTGCGTGCGTGAGGCAGGAGTGCGCAGTCGCTGGGCGTGCGTGGGAGGTGCACGGTGGCGTCCTGTATGTACTAGCGCTTTGCGCGCATACCTGAGCGGGTTTGGAGTGGTCGTTGTGGGTACGGTCGTCTTGAGCATGCCTAGACCATCGAGATTGCCCAGGGGCGGGCCGAGGAGGCAGCTGCCCAGGGCCGGCAAGGAAGCAGCCCCCCCCCCCCCCTCAGAGGCCAAGCACAGCAGGGGCCCGACCACAAGAGGCCTTCCACGAGAAGCCCAACCCTGAGACCCCAGCACTGGGCGTCCATTGATTTCTTGGTGTGCGAGTGTCACGCTTTTCGTAGCAAAACCATCGAAACCCAAGAAACCCAGGGCACCCTGGAGGGGGGCAAGGTGTTTCCTGGCATGGGTCTCCACTGTACTCCGGAACAGACCTGCAAAGAGGGCCATCCTTGAGAAACCTTTACTCCAGAGCAAGCGCCAGAGGCCCCCCACGTGCATCTAAGAAGCCTTCTCAGAAGCCCTCGGGCCCTTCCGAGAAGGCCTCCTCCCCGTGTCCCTGGATCTGCTTGGGCGCGGCGGTCAACTTGCGCAACCATGGTTTGACCTTGCAGACGCAAGCGAAGGTGTGGCCCGTGGCGGCTTGTATCTGGGGAGTACCGATACGGCAACTCCCGGGACCTCTCCTGGGATGCTTTTTGACCCGGATTTAGAGAAGAATCCAGCCGTGTCGACGAGTGCCTCCCAGGAGGCCGAAAAAAGCGGAAACGAGGCAAGGGTAGCGGTATCGGTACCTTTTTCTCCTCTGAATATCCCTCTTGGCGAAAGGTCTCTGCATGAGTGGAATTCCTCTGCGAGGTTGCGCGCGCACCAGTGCCCCAGTTAGTGCGCTTCGCCTTCTCAGAACCGCTGCCCCTCGAGCCACCTCCTTGTGCGCACCATCGCAATTATTTGTCGAAGCCGCTTGCGCGCGTCGAAAAGAATGCGGCCAGGAAGTCCGAGCTGGACAAGCCCAGCGAAACGGTCAAGAGGGAGGGGAAAATATGGGCAACTCAACCCCCACAGAGCCGTCTCCAGACCCCTCCCAGCGCCGAGGGCCGACACTGAGAAGTTTTAGGTCGGGCGTGTCCTCCTACGGGCGGATTTTGAACTAAAAAGTGGAAATGGTGAATGGAAATATAAATGATCGCAAAACAAATAATCGAGACATCGTCGCCATTTGTTATGTTTTTTACTATTTTGGGGTGTTTCTCCTGTAGAAGGACAAGCCCAACGTAACCCCAGCCGCGCCCAGCCGCGGCGCCGAGGGGGGCATGGCTTAACACAAATACATCTCTGTCTATATATAATCGAAGCATCGTCCCCAGACTATATACTATATGTGGATATTCCTCCTGTGAAAGAGGACAGGCCCAACGCAACCCCAGCCGAACCCAGGCGTGGCGCCGAGGGGGGGCATCCGTTCTGCGATTCTCCCCTTCTCCTGCGGGCCAGATCCAGAGTGCTGAAGCCTCGGAAGCGGCCCAGGGCGTCTGAAGTTCATTCGGGCATGTCCCTCCGCAGGAGGAATTCTCAAACATAGCCAATAATAGTCCGGGGACGTTGTTTCACTATTGTTGGCTATTTTTGAATATGGGCTGAATATTTGTTATGCTTCGCCCAGAATCCGCCTGTATGGGGGAAGTGTCCGACAGTCTGAACTTGTTGGGGCAACAGGAAACAGATTTCTCCGCAAATCCAAGTCAAGCAATCAAGCAATCGTCGCGGCCATGCCTGGTCGTGGTGTCGTCGGAATAACACGCGCATGCACTGCCCCGAAAAAAGGGAATGGGCACCATGAAGTCGGTCAGGAGGGGGGACGGAGCGAACCCAAGGCCCGATAATATCCCACGTAGGCAGAAACAGGCGCAAACCTTCCCGAGCCCAGCATTTCGCACATGCCCACCTCTTCCTGTTGGCCAAAACCAATGCTGGGCCACCTCTAGAGGAGCAGCTAATTACGCCACCGAGGAACCCCACATACATATTTTATGGCTGGACTGACGACAGTTGAAGTGAAGCATGTGAGAACCATGTTGGTGGCCGTTCCCCGCGCCCCCCTCGGGTGTCGAGAATATGCCACGCTTGCTCGGATAGCGGCTGATCTCAGAGACCGTCCCCCGCGCACCCCGCACGGTGTCGAGAAAGTGCGACGCCTGCTGCGCCCTGGACGACTGGTTCGGATAACGGCCGCGCTCACTAACCATCCCCTGCGCACCCCCTTTTATGGCGTCGAAAATATGCCACGCCTACTATGCCCTGGACGACCGGCTCGGATAGCGGCCGCGCTCAGAGACCACCCCCTGCGCACCCCCTATGGTGTCGAGAAAGTGCCACGACTGCTGCGCCCTGGACGACCGGCTCGTATAGCCGCCGCGCTCAGAGACCACGCCCTGCGCAGCCCCTACTGGGCCTATGGCGTCGAGAATATGCCACGCCTGCTACGCCTCGTCAGGCCACCAATTGTTGAGCTGGCGGCGGTACGCATTGAATGCGGACAGCACCACTCCTTGGGCACATCTGCGCGAGTTCTCCAAGCTGACCTCGCCAACCATCTGTGTCATTGTGTTCTTCATCGCCAAAAACGGAGGTGGAAAGGCGTTCATGGCAATTTGGGGCGGCATGTCTGCCACGCGCAGGTACCGCGGCTGCTGCCCTCAAGCGGAATTATAAGCAAGCCTGCGGAATTATAAGCGAGACTGCGTGGAATCGCGTGCACGCTGAAACGGCTTGATCCAAGGTGTTTGCAGTTCTGGATAAACTGCGGGCTCGCCTGCCGCGTTTTGCGAGCACGAAACGGATATCGCTCCCACCCCCAGCGCAGCCCCTGTGGTGTTGAGGAAATGGCGCGCTTGCCACTCTTTGTGAGCCCGGAACGGATGACGCTCCCACCCCCAGCCCACCCCCCAAGGTGTCGAGGAATTGCCACGCCTGCCACGCTTTGCGAGCCCGGAACGGATAGCGCTCCCACACCCAGCGCGTCCCCTGTGGTGTCGAGGAAGTGCCACGCCTGCCGCGCTTTGCGAGCCCGAAACGGATAGCGCTCCCACCCCCAGCTCACTCCCTCTGGTGTCGAGGAAGTGCCACACCTGCCACGCTCTGCGAGCCCGGAGCGGATAGCGCTCCCACACTCAGCGCGTCCCCTGTGGTGTCGAGGAAGTGCCACGCCTGCCGCGCTTTGCGAGCCCGAAGCGCATAGCGCTCCCAACCCCAGCTCACCCCCTGTGGTGTCAAGGAATTGCCACGCCTGCCACGCTTTGCGAGCCCGAAACAGATAGCGCTCCCACCCCCAGCTCACCCCCTGTGGTGTCGAGGAATTGCCACGACTGCCACGCTTTGCGAGCCCGAAGCAGATAGCGCTCCCACGCCCAGCTCACCCCCTGTGGTGTCGAGGATGTGCCACGCCTGCCACGCTTTGCGAGCCCGAAACGGATAGCGCTTCCATACGTCTTGGGTGTATGATGCAGTGAAAACACCAGGCGTGCACTAGCGTTGTATGGTGTGTATGGTGTGTGTGTGTGTGTGTTTGTGCGAGTGTGTGCATGCGTGCGGCTGCATGTAGACGCGTGTCTGATGTACGTGCCGTGCATGAGTTGCGTGCGGGTGAAGGGAGGAAGGAAGTGGAGGAGGGGAGGAAGGAGGAGGGAGGGGAGGTGGGTGAGGAGGAGACGCGGGTGCGACGCGGCAGGGATGAAAACCAGGACCCCACGAAGCATGTGGGGCAAAACCTTTGACAATCCGCGCGGTTTTCTCGGATCTGCGCTGGACCCCCCTCCCTGGCGAGCAGAGCGCGCCAGGGGCGGCGCCAGAGACGCCGCTGGGGGTCCCGGCGCCGATCTAAGAAATCCGCGGAGCGCCAAGAGTTTATGTTTATTGCGTGTTTTCCGGTAATTGACAGAAACCCTTTAATAAAACACGGCTTATTGAACCAAACTACCTCGGGCCCAAACCTGGCCGGCGCAAGCCTGGGAAACGACGGCCGCGGCACCCTCTCGAGAACCGAAAACGGACAATTCACTAGTCGACGTGTCGGGGTGGGGGTTCTGTCCACTCTCGATTTTCTTCAAAAATAGAAGAAGCAAAAAACAACATCAACCTAAACTTTTGGCGCTCCGCGCGGATTTCTTGGATTCGCGCTGGACCCCCCTCCCTGGCGCGCGGAACGCGTCAGGGGCGGCGCCGGAGGCGCCGCCACGGGGGCCCAGCGCAGATCCAAGAAATCCGCGCGGAGCGCCAACAATCTATGCTTATGTGTTTTTTTCTTCTTCCAGTGTCAAGGATGGGGGTTCTGTCCCTCCCCCGATTTTTCTGCTTCGGGAACTGACCCCCACCTCTTGCCGCTGCCGGGTGCCGGCGGGCCCGCTTTCAGGAGCGCCGGCCGACGGAGGGGGGGGCCTCGCAGCAGGCGCCGCAGGCGTCGAAGTCGCAGCGGCGGCAGCCCCGCATGGGGTGGTCCAGGGGCAGCTCCTGGCGTCGGCTGCATGCGGCGCCCCCTCCCTCGGTGGCAACTCGTGGGAGCCTCCCACACCATCTTGCTGGCTCTTGCGAATCACCGACGGTCGATCGACGCTGGATCGACACCACAGTCGACGCCAAATCGCCGCCGAATCGGCACATCTCATCGATTCCCAGACGCTGATCGGCGCTAGTCGACGGGAAAGACGGAATTGCGAGAGTGCACGAGGCTCCCATGATTTGCTACCGAACCCTCTTGTGTTTCTGGTTGCCCTCCTCGACGCCCTCGCCTCAAAGTCACAGCCTGCACCGCGGGGGCTGCAGGCAAGGGGTAGACAGGTTTGCTCACGCGAGGACTGCAATTGTTGCGGCTCGACCCCTCTGTTCCTCAGTCTGGCCCTCGCGGGGTTTAGGATACAGTGGGGGCTCGGCCACAAGAAACCTCCGCAAAAAACCCAACCCTGAAATACGCGACTTGTTCAGTCAAACAATCCACATGTGTCGATCGAAAATGATTCGGAGCCCATCAACATCCAAGAAACCCAGGGCACCCTGACAAAACCCAACTGGTTTCTTGGCACGCGCCCCCACTGTAGAGGTACACAACACTGCACAGGCAAAATCTTTCGGAGCTCCGCGCGGCTGTCTTGGAGCGGCGCTGCACCCCCCTCTCCCTGGCGCGCTCGGCTCGCTCGCCGGGAAGGCGTCGGAGGCACCGCCAGGGGGTCCCAGCGAAGATCCAAGAACATCCGCGCGGACCTCCGAGAAATCAATCATACTTGGCTCGGGCGCGGAGTGTGGTGTCCCCGCGGCCTTCAAGGGGGTTCGGAGGCAACTCCTGGGAGGTCTTCGTGAGAACGATTCCCCACCAGTCGGAAGGAGTGGGTAGCACAGGCCAAGCTGTGGCGCAAGATCGGCTCACTCTTGTCGGAGCGGGGCCGAAGCGAGCCAGAAGCTGTTGTGCTGCAGATTCCCCACACCTCATAGCACGAAAGGCCGTCGCCCAAGAAGGGTACGTAGGACAGTTGCCTCATGAAGTGTAATGCTGATGTGGATGTCTTGGCGGGAGCTGCGGCCGACATGGCCAGTGTCCCCGAAGCAGACAAGTCCAGAGTGCACTGGGTCGAGCGCAAACTTCGAGCAACGAAACATGACATAAACATACAGAGTCCGAGGTCCACGCGGATTTCTCGGATCGGCGCTCGACCCCCTTCCCTGGCGCGCGGAGCGCGCCAGGGGCAGCGCCGGAGGCGCCGCCAGGGGGGGCCCAGCGCCGATCCGAGAAATCCGCGCGGACCTCCGAGTTTTGTATGTTTATGTCATTATCTGTTCCCCTAAACCTGCGCTTGTTAGGATCGGGGAGACGTAAGACTCGGGTACGGGGGACTCGGGTGGGCCTGACGGGGGCCATCATGAAAATGACGAGACCCAATCTGCAATATGACGCGGGCCTCCCACGAAAACGGGACCGTCAAACTCCAGGATGCGCTGGTGAAAAAATCGGCAAACCCGAGTTCCGGCTTACTCGAGTCTCGCGTTTCCCCGATAAAGCTGGGCTCGCTAGGAGAAGGCTGCGCAGAGCAGGAGTGGAGCCACCGCAGGCCTCCTGGAACCCCCAGCGCGGGGCGCGGGCCGTCGGGGATCTTCTGACCCGGGTCAGTCCAGACCCGGGTCAGCAGGAAACCAACAACTGCAGGGCAGGACAGACAAAAACCGCAGCGCAGGCCTTCGCAAGCCCGGGTCAGCCAGTGTGCGCGGCCGCCTCGCGGCCACGAGCGGCTCGCTAGCCCGGGTCAGCCAGAGTGGGTCTTCGCAGAATCCTGCAGGATCGGGTGCCCTGGCTGACCCCCGTTTGCATTGACCCCCGTCTCTTGAGCCCCGAGCGGGGACCTTGAGGCCCCTCCCGGCCCTCCTGCTCCTCGCCCTCCTCCCCCGAGGGCCCCAGCACGCTCCGCGGCCGGCCACATCCTGATCGAACCTGCGAACGTCTGATTACTCGGCGTTTCGACACTGGGAGACGCTGAAGCGGTACGGTGCACGCAAGCCGTCCACGGACCATACCTCCTCGCCCTCGCCAAATCGTCGACAGTGGCACCGCGCGCGAGAGCGCCGTCCGCGCGCTAGGTGGGAGCGCCCTCCAATACCAATGCTATCTCGTGCCACAATTGATATTCCCATACGTGAGCGTTTTATCATTCGGCGTTTCGGCATTGGGCGGAAGGGGGGGTGAGTGGGGGGTTTGGCTCTGGACCTCTGCTCAGTGCGACTGTTTGCGACAGTGCGTCCCATAGGAGAGACTCCACCTGCTTGAAACAAGCGCCCCAAACAGCCACGATCTACTCCACGGGAGGGGGGGCACGAGGGCCCGCGCCGATCGGCAAAACGATTAGAAAGCAAACGCTCACGTGACTAAACAGTGTTTGCGTCCCCCTCCCCCTGAACATTCGGAAAAAACCCGAGCCCCGATCGGACGGAGTTTACACTTGGCGGGTGGCACGACGAATCCCTCACACGCCCTTCGGTATATCACGACGACCTTGGAATCTGATTTTGTGGGTCGTGCGGGTGTTTCGGTCAGGCTCAGCTCAAGGGGGCTCAGGCAATCCTTGTCGCCCCCACTGAATCACCAAGGCCAGGCGATAATACCTTGGCAGGATTGATCGCGACCTGTTCCCCAAATGTTGAGCTCAACCTTCAATCACTACGTGATGCCGGAAATCGTGAAACATCCTCCCTCTTCCCGTTCCCCCCCCCTACGCCGTCCCTCTCCTCCACGTCCTCCTCTGCGTCCGCACCCTTTCTCCACGCTCTCCTAACCCTTCTCATCCATCTCCTGCTCCGACTCCTCCTCCCTCTCCCACATACTGCTGCTGCTGATGCTGGTCCTCCTCCTCCTCCTCCTCCTTATCCGCTTCTACGTCTGTCGCCGTCGCCTCCTTCACGTCCGCGTCCCCCTCTCTCAGTCCTGCCTCTGCATCCTGCTGCTGCTGCTGCTGCTGCTCCTCCCCAGACGGGCCCTCCGCTTCTGCTGCGCCTCGCCCTCCTTCGCCTCCGCCTCCTCGTGCCTCGTCCTCCTCTTCCCCCGTCTGCTCTCCTCTGCTTGCTCCCACTCCTCCTCCTCCTCCTCCTCCTCCTCCCTCCTCCTCCTTCTCCACCTCCTCCTCCTCCTCCTCTCCTCCTCCTCCTCCTCCTCCTCCTCCTCTCTCCACCTCTCTCCTCCACTCCTCCTCCTCCTCCGCCTCCTCCTCCTCCTCCTCCTCCTCCTCCTCCCCCTCCTCCCCCTCCACCTCCTCCTCCTCCTCCTCCCCTCCTCCTCCTCCTCCTCCTCCTCTTCCTCCTCCTCCTCCTCCTCCTCGACGCAGCCAGAAGCGGGATGCAGTCTCATCAGTATGCGAATGTAGCTACATGCCCCCGATCAGTAATACTCAAGAAGTGGGGGTCATGAAATTCGGGGTTCCAAGGGGATAAGAGTTATTCCCCCACCGACTCGCATGTACGGATGTACGGAGTCCGGATGCCGATCCAACTGTCTTGGTTGGAGATAATCATGAGGTTGGATCATGAGGTTGGTGGGACGGGTGGATATGCTTTGTTATCGGGGGCGTGCGGTTTTTGGTTCTGCCTAGCAGAATTCAATCATCAGAGTCACTAGCTGAGGACGACTACATGTTCATGCGAAGGCACTACCACCTCCTACCCTGAAGGGAACTCCCCCTCCCACCTCGCACCTCCTTGCTCCTCATCCTCCTCGAGTGGGGGGCCCTCGAGTGGGGGGCTTGTGGCGTCTGTTTTGCCTTCCCCCCTTCGGTCAAGCGCTGTCTCGAGGCGAGTCCAGCCGCGGCGACGAGGGCCCTCTTGAGGCCACCCAACACGGGCGGGCGGTAGGGGGAAAGGAAGGGATGGCGAGGACGGACGGACCTAACAACAAACATCGAAGGCCTCCCTCCCGCCCGGGAGATCTCCAAGGCCCTCTGGAGGTGTTTGTTGCCGGTGTCCCGGGAGGACTCAAGAGGCGTCTGGAGTGAAGGGCCTCGAGGCGCAAACGCATGCTCCAAAATGCCAACAACAACATCCAGCCAAACGTCTAATTAGGCGCGTCAAACACCGCCGAAAGGCCGCGGGGGTCTTCAGCAAGCGCCAGGGTCCCAGGGGGCCTCTGTAGGCCTCCGTGGACGTCGGGCACATCACTCAAAAATTTGGGTGAACTGCATGGGGGGGGTGCAATAGATTTTGGGGCAAGTGCATTGCAACTGTATTGCGCTGGAGGAATTGTCTTGCATTGTATTGCAACTAATGTATTGCACGCGAAAAACCAACAATACATTTGCGCCCCATAATGTATCTCACGCCCCGAATGCAGTGCAACCCCACAAATCTAGTGCACAACCCCCTTGTCGCTGGACCCCCTTTTGGGTCAACCCGGAACAAGCCCACCTCCTCAAACACTGAACTTATATTTCCCCCCATCCCTGCCCATTCTACGAAGATCCGATGTCTTGATTGGTGCTTTCCATCGCGAGTCGTTTGAACAACCCCCGGGGGGCTGCCGAAGCCTCCTAAGGAGGCTGAAAACGACAGAATGCCTCCAGTCTGTACTTGTTCGTATACAGTGGAGGCCCGTCCACAAGAGACCTTCCACGAGAAATCCGACCCTGAGATGACTACCTACCAGACCACCCCAACCCAACCCGAAGACCCAAATTTGACCCGAATTTCGGGTTTGGGGGGGTACGTGTTCCATGCGTTTTTTCAATGTTCCTCGACCCCCCCACACTGGAAATGGATGGCAAATTGGGGCCTTCGGGTTGGGTTTGGGTGGTTTGGTGAGTGGTGATGAGGTCCCAGGACGTCCCTTGATTTTTTCTGGTGCGGGCACGTCACGTCTTCCACAGCAAAACCCTCGACACCCAAGACACCCAGGGCACCCTGGAGGCAAGCAGGGTGTTTCTTGGCATGGGCCTCCTACAGGTGGATGTTGGGGAACATCTGTTTTAAAAAAGCAAACAAAGACTCACTCACAGAATTGTTCCCTTACGATTTGTTTTGACAGTTTTTGAATATGCCTCCTGTAGAGGGACACGCCCGACTTACCGCTTGACTTATGTCGGGCGTGTCCCCCTACAGGGGGACTTTCGACGAAAAAAAAAACATACCCCCAAAATTACCCCAAACAGGTTAAAACATACTCCAAACATAGTCCCCAGGCTATTTTTGGATTATGTTTGGACTCTTTTGGGGGGTACAGTCTGCATTTTTCGTCGAGAAGCCCCCTGTATGGGGGACAGGCCCGACTGAACGCTTGACGTCAGGGCCCCAGGGTCGAAGCTCGGCCCTCGGACCTGTCCTGGGGGCCCGCGTCCTGGCCCGACAAACTTCGAGGAGGGAGCCCCGCAGCGTGGCGACGAGAGGCCTCCTCCCGGGGCTACGGCGGGGCAGAGAGAATCAAAACCACGACCCTCGGCACGGGTGCCTGCCAAGGGGCCCAGGGGCACACAAAGAAATACACACAGATGAAAGAGTTCCCCACATGTTTCAGGACCTTTTTGGGGTCTTCGTCATTCCCCCCCACTTCCCACATTTGCCCGCATTTTCTGGGAAGCCACGATTCCTTGTGTCTGTGTGTTTTGTTCCCTCCTGAGTCTGGGCCTGGGGGGGCAAACAAGAAAATGCCGACGCCGCGACTCGGCGGGCCTCTCCCGAGGCGCGCTCGGACCGGAATGTCGGAGCGGATGCGGGCGCCCGTGGTTACGAAGGCTCTCTCTGTAGGACGGCCAGCGGCATTGGCATGGCTTCCTCCGGGGGTTCGGGGACACACCCGCCCGGGACAGCACAGACCCGGGTCGGCCAGGGCCCTGTCGCGAAGCCCGGCTGGCCGTTCAGCAGCTACCAGAACCCGGGTCACCGGACGGCGGAGAGGGGACATCGTTCGCACGCGGCGCCCAGGCCCAGGGTCAGCCACAGGGTCGTGGCTGATCCCCGTTAACGCTGCCCCCCATTGCGTGAGGCCTACAGTGGAGACCCCTGCCAAAGAAACACCCTGCTTGCATCCAGAGGGTGCCCTGGGTTTCTTGGGTTTCGATGGCTTTGCGGTGGGAGCTGCGACGCTCCCACACAACAACTCACTGGACGCCCTGGGGATTGAGAGTTTGGGTTTCTTGTGGAAGGTTTCTTTATGGATATGTATTCATGGATGGATATGAATATTCATGTTATGGATGGGGCTATTTATATTTCACCCACTGTAAAAAAAAGGCCACGGATGGAGATGGATATTTATTCTTCTGCGATGGCCTGGGCTATCCGGGGGAGGAGGCGACGGCCGACAACCTGACCTTCTCACTTGGGGCCGCCCAGCGTATGCCCGCGCACACCAGTACTGCGTAACCCTCGGACCTGCGCAGCCGACAAACGGGACCCCCCCCAAAAAAACGATACACCCCCCGGGTCTCTCCCAGGGCGCGTCCTGGCCAAAATTTCGGGGCAAATCCAGCGGTGGCGACGAAGGCCCCCCAGGAGGCCCCAAAAAGGTGAGAACGGGGGAAAAGGCAGAGGTATGGGTATCTTTGCCCCCTTTCCAGGCTCATTTTGGACAAAATATTACAAATAGCTAACACAAGTACAACAAACAAACAATCAAAATAGTCGACACATCGTCCCAAAACTATGTTTGTATGTTGTTTTTGAATATACCTCCTGCTGAAGGGGCGTCCCCGCCTTAAGATAAGCCTGGTGATCGCCAAATGAAGAATACAATACTAAAAATAATAATAATACGAATAACAATATTAATAATACTAATAATGATAATAATAATAATAAGCATACTAATAATAATAAGAATAATAATGCGAATAATAATGATAATAATAAAACACACACAGCATGCCCAAGGGATCCCCCCTGACGCGACCCCTGAAAAAAAGGCCTTGGATGAAGATGATCCGTGCATGGGAGGAGGGAAAACGTCGAATCGCCCGTGAAGGAGCCGTGGGTTCCGACTGGCAAAAATCCCCTGCGACGAATTCTTGTGCACAGGCCCATACTTCGCATAGGGGCAGAGGGGGTACCCAATTTTCTAAGGGAGCGAACGCCGAGGCAGGCCCCGTCAGAGAGGCTCAACAGCTGCTGGCCTGGTCGCGTGCCCATTCTGGGGGACGCGCTGACGAACAGGTTTCCCTCTTCGATCTGTGAGCCAAATTTCCCCCGGTTTTCAGAAGCTCCTGCACTCCAGGATGCCCTCGCTGGTGCCCTTATTTTTCACTGCGCCGGGACAGATGCTTCCCGTGCCAAACGCGCTCAGGCATGCACAGCCTCAGCACTGTCCGCCCTCTGCACAGTCACACTTACTACATGAAAAAATCTGGATATACATGCGGCACATGCAAAAGACTTGCACGACACCTCCGTTGAAGGACAAAAAATGTCTGTGCATGTGGATGTGTCTCCCACTTTGATAAAAACTCCCCGGGGTACCAGCTCGGAAGCGGCGTCTTCAATTCGCCGCTGGGAGCCAGTTGTTGCTGAATTTCCACCACGGAAACAACTAAGCATTTTTTTCGACGCTGCCTCGTGGACTGGGTCCAACGTTCGGTACTGAAAATCCAGCTCCTCTTCAGCTGGTGCCCTTTGGCTGTCAATGGCCTCCTTGATCTGGATAACCCGTGCCGGGCTCGAGGTGTCTTCGCCTCCTCAATATACTGTTGTGACGAAGTCCAATGCATCAGAATTTAGACGGTGTCTTCGATATCCTGGCGAAGCTGTCCCCAAAAGTCTGAATCGTCCATGGTTATCGAAGCTCTTCATTGGCACCTTCCGGTTGCCTCCGAACCCTGGGGACTCCATCTTCCCTCCAATTTTTCGCAAATGGCAATCCTGGCACTCTGGCATTTCCGAACGTGGGTACGTCGGGTCCGTTCTCTGCGTCTTTGGCTCGTCGTTTTTCCCAAGGTAGCACTCCAATCCAGCATAGACATCTGGAACATTGTGGCACAAAACAAGTTCCATCAGTGTATTACGACCCTGTCACGCGAGAGCGGGTCGCAAAACGTACTCTACCAGAATGGCTGCAGGGATTGTGTTGCTTCTTCTCTCGGTTCCTCCTTCCCCATACTCCTTTTCTGGCCTGAGAATGGAGAATGTGTGGGGCGGAAGTCGTGTGAGTGGGTGCCAGTGAATGTCCTCACTTCGTCGGGGCCCAAAGCGCTTGAGCTCCATCGCCGACTAGGAACGGGAGGAGGAGAAGGAGGAGGAAGAGGAAGAGGAGGGAAGGAGGAGGAGGAGGAAGAGGAAGGGGAAGAGGAAGGGGAGGGAAGAGGAAGAGGAAGATGAGGAGGAGGAGGAAGAGGAAAAGGAGGAGGAGAGGGAGAAGAAGGAGGAGGAGGAAGAGGAGGGAGATGCCCGGGACATCCCCCCACAGGCGGTCCTCGCGGCCGCACACCGAGCAGTAGTAGTGCGGCACGTCGGTCCAAAAGGGCGCCAGCGGGTGGCCTGTCGGGCACGCTCCCCGCTCGAGCTGCTCCGCCGCCCGGGCGTCCAGAAGCCTCTCGGGCGCTACAGACGGGGATCCTCAGGACTCCTCCTCCTCCTCCCTCCTCCACCTTCTTCTTCGTCTTCTTCGTCTTCAACTTCGTGTTCTTCTCTGTACTAATTTTATTAGTCGTATCATTACCCGCATTCTGATTATCATTCCCTCCTCCCTCCTCCTCCTCCGTCCTCATCCCTCCCCCTCCTCCTCCTCTCTCCTCCTCCCTCCTCCTCCCTCCTCCTCCCTCCTCCTCCTCCGTCC